CGGCGGGACGGGTTCCGCCCGTGATGTCCCCCGGGCGGCGGGGGAAGGCGACTCACTCGAGCGCTGCGGCAGAGGCCTAGTGCGGGCAGCGCCGCTCGCGTCCCCATGGCCGAGGAGCAGCAGCAGCCGGAGGGCGGGCAGCAGCAGCAGCCGCCGCGGCGGCTCGCCGGCACCCCCGCGCCCGGCGGGGCCCTGCCGGCCTTGGTGCCGGGGCTGCAGGGCGGCGAGGCCAGCGCGCTGCAGCACAAGATCCGCAGCTCCATCTGGTAAGGGCCGGGCCCCGCGGGGCCGGGGCAGGGCCGGGGGGGAGGGGGGGGCGCGGCCCCTTTGTGCGGGCGGCGCGGGGCACACGCGTGTCCGCGGCGGGGCCCGCGGGGCAGGGACGGCCCCGTGTGCGGGGCGCGGGGCACCTGCCGCGGGCGCAGCTCCCGCACGGCCGCGCTCGGGAGCCCCCGGGGATGCGGAGCCCAGCGGGGACGGGGCGATTGTCCAGCCTCCCTGGAAACCCTCTGCTCTCCCCAGGTCCTGGTCGGGGCGGTTCGAGTGCAGTTTTGGGTGGAACTTGTGGTGGTTTGCAAGTTCCTGCATAGGAATCCACGTTGTTTTGGTTTTTTTTTTTTCCCCCCTAAAAATTAAAAGAAAATTCCTAGTAAACCGGCATTTGACTTAAAAATTTTATTTTGTGTGCATTTGTGTGAATTGAGTTCAGCTTACTGCAAATAAAGCACTTTGTGTTTTTTATAAAAAAATATCTGCAAGAGGCTGTCACCTGCAGCATTTGTATTTTGTGTATGTTTTTAAAAGCTGCCTTTGGCTGAGGGTGCTGATAAAGTATAGTGAAAGTTGGGAGTTGTAAATACAGGTTACTCATATAATGTTTTCCTTTATATACACACACGGTGTATATTTTATACATGTACTCATCCCAATAAAAACATACTGATCTAGCTTGCATATTACGTCATATTACAGTTAGATTGTGTGGTTTGAATGGATGTAGCTGGAAAAGAAAGAGAATCTAAATATAATTTTACCTTCTGATTCTTTTATTGTATGGCACACTGAGATTGTATTTATTATTGGCATGGTGGTTGTTTTTATTTATTTCAGCAGTAAACAACAGTTCATTCTGCTTAATCCACACTTGCAACCTTTTGTTTTGGTTTTCTCTGCAATGTGACCTAGAGAAGGAATATGAACTGCAGAATTTCCTGTCTGTTTGGATCACAAAATCTTCACGCCTTCCTAATTTATTATGGTATTTAGTGATGGCCTTTTCATATTTTCTCCTCTTTGCATGAACGTGCTGTTTGGAAATGAGCCTGGGAGAGCATGTTTACATTGCATTCAGATTAGGTATCATGTCCAAGTTGAAGACAAAATGGCTACTAAGTAAAACCTCTGCTTTTATTGTGGGTTTTCTTTTCAAGGAAAAAGAGCACAAATGTTAGCCTCTGAAATGAAAGCTGCTCGTTTGATTCAGGTAAACTTGATGAATAGCCCAAACCCACGTTTGGTACAAAGGAATGCAGCGTTTTTCCCGATGTGAGTGGCTCTCCTGGTGCCAAGTGCCTGTGACCAGCAGAGGTTTCGCCAGCACCTTGCAGCCCTGTCTCCTGGTACTTTCACAGGCGTTCCTCACCTCAACACGGGTGTTCCTCCTGCCTACCTGTTTCCTGCACTGGGCTTCAACTTCCCTGCTGCTTTCAGGCAGCATCCGTTCCCTGTGGGTTTTGCTGTTGAAATGCAGTATTTGAAGATAAGGTTATTTTTTTTGATAAGAAAACCTTTTCTTTGATGTCTTCAAACCTCGTGTTTTCGCTATTGTGATCAAGCAGTCTTCATTTGAGGCCGGAGTTTTGCGTTAATTTGCATCTTCCTGTAGATGTGGTGGTTGTTTTGGAGCAGCAAGGATGAGGAGCATTGCCAGGGATGTCGTGCACACTGCACCCGAGTGAACAGTGGAAAGCCTTGGGTCTGCTGCTCTGTTCAGTGGGTGCTGGTGATGGGTAAACAGCAGGAGAGGTGGTGGAAGGCTGGTTGTGAAAATGGCAGTGCCCTGCTGTTAACAGAACTAAGTGTAATGTGCAGAGGAGAGCTTCCTCTTTTCTCCTTCCCTCCTCTTCCTCCCCTGCCGTGCCAGTTGCATGTGCTGGCAGGCTGGTGCATTCAATTCCCTCTTTCCTTCCCAAGGGGTTTAGCACATCCAGATTAGTACTCTTCTCTGTTGTTTTCCCCACACCTCCTTTTTTCCTACACATGTTTGTGCATAGTGGATGGAGGTTTTTAGTTGGCTGTGTTTGTTATTGTTTTGTTGTTTGGTTTTTTTTTCTATTTTAAGGGTTTCAGTCTTCAAATTATATTGTCAATGAAAATAGTAGTATAGCAAAATATAGGAGCTACTGAAATACTGGACTTGAGGATCACAAACAAGTCTGTGCTTGTCCCTCCCCTGTACAGACAAATATAAATATAGAGTGTGATGCAGGCCACGAGTGGGACAATGAGGTATTCACTACCTCAACTTATACTTATTTTATTCTGTTTATTAAATTAAAATGTAGTTTGACAAAAACATCTTAAATAATTGTGTACATGTGGAGCCCCTTAAATTGAAACAATAGTTTAAGTCCTGCTGGTTATATTTGCAGGCACAGTCAGTATATGTACTGAAGACTTAAAAATGTGCTTGCTAGGAGTATAGTCTGCTTTGGGATTTTTTGTTGTTGGGTTTTTTGTTTGTTTGTTTGGGGTGTTTTGGGTGATTTTTTTTTTTTTTTTGGGTATGAAGTGACCATTAGTTTGAACTGAGGAGGGGAAGATAAAAGAGTGACTTAACTGTGCTTAAAAACAAATCTGGAAGTATTTGTTTGCACTGCAGCATCACCTACAGGTATTTAACTGCTGTTTGGTTACAGTAATTGAAGCTCATCACTGTCTCACTGTATTTGTGTCCTGCCTGCCCCACTTGAACACATCCAGCCAAGTGGTGTCTGGTTTTGTTTGGTGCTGCTATGTGAGTTGCTGAGGCGGTTGGATGTTCTTACGGTGTGGGTGAAGTGGGCAGAAATAATACTGGATGTCTTTTCCCACTGACGGATTAGGAGTCTAGACGGGGAGAACACGTCTTTGGGAGCCCAGCCTGGCTGATTAGTGTCGGGATGGGCGGGTTTCTAAATTGCCCTGGTCTTCGCTGGACACTGGGCCTTAATCTGCCTGTTTTTATTTCCCTTTAGATTCGTTAAAGCTTTCATATTTATTAATAGCTTTTTGTCCAGACGTTGGAGCCCGAGGCGGGAAAACCTCCCTAGTCAGCTGTCTGAGCATATAGACTAATGGGGTTTCAATTATTTTCTTCGGGTGAGGGTATTACTGAATGTGTGTTGTTTGTATACGATGTTTCTGTACCCAAACATATGGTGGGGAAGACAGAGTCTACTCAATATCACGTTGAGTTGCCAAAGAATATCTTATCGCCGAAGACAGCAAAGTACGGATGTAAAAGCAGCGTGGCACAAGGATTGAGATGGGGAGGTGGCCAGGGGAGGATGGTGTGAGCCGAGAGTCTGTCTCGATGGCGTGAAAGAAAAAGACCAACAGTTTTGGGCAATTTAATCCCCCCTTTCAGTGTATTAATCCAAAATCCAGTAGCTGCGAACGTTGAAGGAACGGACAGGTTTGTTTTCTTGTTCGCTGTTGCGAATAACTGGTGATGATTCTTCAATAAGCACTTGTTTACTATTGTAAATAGTAATCTGGTGCTTGCATCTGTGCATGGGTTGGCCCCAGCCTCTTTCACCTTGCCTGCATCTCAGCCCTTTTTGTCCTAGAGGCATCTGTTAGGATTTGAATATAGTAATTCTGCTCGAGAGATTAATTTCTCTCCTTCCCCTCCCCAGTCTCGTGTGTAAACCAAGCTGAGGACCAGGCAGTGTGGAGTGGCAAACACAAAGCATTGCATTTGCAGCCATTTCAGCTGGACGTGGGTGTGGGTTTCAGACCCATAATTTTTGTCCTCAAGTCACTCTTCTAGCTAGAAGTTGTAATGGAAAACCACATGAGCCAGGCCGGGCAGTGCCGAAATTATATGTCCTAAGGCCCAGTTTGTCTCGTGTTGAAGGAGGAGTAGGAGGTGAATTGTGCCTTTGTTAGTTTTGGGCTCTTGGTATCATGCTAGAAAACCAGATTAGCTGATTGTAACACCAGTGTTTTCTAATCTTTGGAAGGCTCCATTCTTTCTTGGACTTACATCATTCCTGCTCCCTCCTGCAGTTGCATCCATCACTCCTCGTTAGGCATTGTCAGCAAGTGTGGATCCTCACTTAGCTGTTGGCTGAGCAAATGTTCTGCAACTTGGGAAATGCCGTTGAGGTTTTTCATTATAGGAATTGTTACTTACTTGTATAGTTAGGTCAGCAGAAAAAATGATTGACAGTCTTGATATTTTTAATAAAATGCCTGGCAATGAAGGGGGAAGCTCCAGGAGTGTGTTTCAGGCTCTTAGCAAAGCAGGTGGATACACCTTTTTGGTAGTTTTCTTCTGCAGTTGAAATTGCTGTAAGACCCTGTATGTATTTTTTTAAAACATACATTTCTTTAGTAAGGTTGGACTAATCTGGAGACCAGTCCATCTGCATTTTCTCTCTTTCTATTTCCTGTAGCTTGAGAAAAGGAGGCAGGAAATAAGAGAAAAAACCCAACGTAACTCTGGGTATTTTGTTACATGGCCTGTAAAACTGAGTGGAGAACTTAAAATTTCCTCTAACTGATTGCAGATTCTTTGTGGTTATTCTGTACCCCAGCCCAAAATGCACCATCATTCCCTCCTTCGTCCTGGTTAATTCATTGTTAGAAGTGGGAAACACAGTTTATAATTCTTCAATTACAGATTACTGATTTCTGTGGGGAAAGGCAAATAATTATCACTGACAGGTGTGCAGGCTGCACTCATTTCACTAAATCTGTGCAACATCAGAAGTGTGTTTACATCTTTTGAAAAAGTACCTTGAGTCCCTCAGCTAAGATATGCTGTGTAAAACTGCGAAGATTTCTTGTCACTAACTCGGTTTTCCCAGGGTTTTTGGTTCCATTGTTTGCAGGTGATGGTAAGACTTGTCTGTCCCAAATGTATTTCCTGATAGGGTGTATAAGTAGTCAAATACATAGGAAAAAATTGAACCGTGGACCGTATTTTAGAGTTCCTGATGATTTCAGGGAAGGTCAGGCCTCCTTGGGCAAAGGATTTAGCAGCATGTCATTCTCCTTC